TGATTTCTCCTTCTGCTCCACGGCCTGTCTGCAAACCCACCGCCGGGCCCAGGCCAAGCACACATAAGGCTGGGGGATGCCATCATCAGCCAGGGACCCATGTGGTGGAGACATGGCTAAGCACTGGCTGTGCAGCTACAGAGAGTCTGTAGAGCAGTGCTGGTAGGTAAGGGGGACTGAGCTGGTCATATCACTCTCTGCAGCAGTTTTCACAAAACTGGGCAGCTGCAGCATAAGTGTAACTCAAGGTATGTTACACAAGGCCTGCACATATTAGTGCAAAAGACCAAGACTGCTCTGTAGTCTGGTTCCAGCTAGGAAGTCCTACTGCCTGCTTTTCTGATGGGTGCCTTGTAGGCTGCTGATCCTGATCTGTACAAACCCTGTAGCCTTGAGCCCCCATGCCTGGAGGTACCTTCTCACCTGTATCTTGCCCTTTCCTCTCCTGGAAGCCACTGAGTCTCAGCCACATCATGTTAACAACTACCTCCTCTGCCTGCATTGTCAATAAAGAGGTGCCTTCAACCCCCTCTAGGTGTTTAAGCATTGAAACTATTTGAGATAAGTTCAAGTATTGATGGAAAACAAGCTGATTCTGGGATCCTTTCCTAGTAAAGAGCCTGCCTGGCTCCAAAGCAGCCAACTTTGGCTGTCCCTGCTGGGCTGTGCCTTTTTCCTAAGCACCAACCAAACCCATAGTGCTTCACCAGCCCCCTGCAATCCCTGCAGGCATAGTGAGAAGCAGTGACAGTGCCTGGCAGTCCTGTGTTTATTCTTTGTCCAGGGGGCTATGGCTGAGGGTCCTGTTGAAAAGGGGTTGGTCAAGGAAGAGCAGGAAGGGGTTGAGGGGTGCCCCCTCTAGCTCCAGCACCGTGATGTTGTTGGGGCAGCCAACACACAGTATCGAGCCAGGCACAAAGAGGGTTTGCTGGGGTCCTTGATGGGGCCAGTACCGGCCCAGATTGAAGCCATTTATCCACAGCTGGCCCTGGGAGATGGAGATAAGACTGAGCCATGCTCTCCACCCTCATCCCCCTCCTAACTCTGCACAGGCTTACCTTGCTCCAACCTGGGAATTTCACAAAGGTGTCCCAGGCAATGCCAGGGGTCTCAAAGGTCCCTGTGTAGAAGGCTGGCCCTGCTCTGCCCCTGCAGCTTGATTTAGGCAGGGCAGCATGGGGCCAGCCCTGCTGGATGGCAGTATCTATGGCCAAGGGGTAGATAAGCCACTTGCTGAGTGGTCTGGAGTCCAAGGAGAGGTTCCCCAGCAAGCCCTGAAGTGGAGCAGAAGGAAAAATGGGGAAGCACGGTTTGCCCTAGGCAGAAAGATGTCGCATGCAGCCCAAGCATGCATCTCCCCCTTAGCAGTGGAGATGGGATCCCCTCAGACAGGCTGCATGGCCTTGGCTGCCACAGCAGCAGGAAAGGGGGATGCCAATCTCACTGCTTTATCCCAAAGTGTTTACCACCTGCCCAGGTCTAAGCCAGTGGGTGTGTGGATAAGAAGAAGGGGATGGTGCAGGATTAACCAGGTAGCAGGGTTTGAGGTGTTCTCACCATGGCTGAGGGCAAGGGAGGGTGTTTGGCCACATGTGCCCACGCCATTTGCATGGAGCAGCCCTGAGGCCCTCTTTCCTCACCTTGAAGTCACTGAAGTTTGCCCCGAAGCTGATCCTGCCCATGTTCTCCAGGAGTACATCCAACGTGTCCCCTGCCTTGCCTTTCACATGCAGTTCTGTCTGACCGTCCCGCTCCAGCGTTCCCTGGTACTCCTGCAGCCATAGGGTAAGCGTTGCCCCACTACATCCCAGTCCCACGCTCTGTCTCACCACCATAAGCACTGCTAGCAGCAGCCTGCTAGTATAGCATTCCACTGCCTTCTCTACACCAGAGCAGACACAAATGGGCCAGCGGAGTGCCCTCAGGGCTTCAATGAGGCTCTCAGTCAGTGTGCTGCCCCAATCCCCATCACAGCACATCTCTCCCAAGAAGCAGGCACCCTTGCTCTCTCACCTTCTGCAGCATCACGTAGCCACGATCACAGATGCTATGGGGAGGAGCGCTCAGCATGGCTGAGGCTAGGATGTCACGGGGCAGCTGCGTGCGGTACAGCATGAAGCCGTGGGCCTGTCAGGCAGCACAGAAAGAGAAGTAGGGCTGGTAATGAGTCCCATTCTTCTATCCTAGAACTTCTCCTCCAGTAACCTTCAGGGCACCCACCTGCTTTACTGCCTCAAAGATGAGTGGGAACTCACTCTGGATGGGCCCAGAGGGGGACAGTACATCCAAGACGTCCAGGAGATCAGCATACTGCAAAGACAGGGATGGGAGCTGGGCAGCCAGGCAAGGCCAGGCAGGACAGCACAAACCTCGAGGCGGGCATTCACCTTGTGCAGAGTCACCCAACCGTAGGCATACTTGGGGGTGGGGGGCGGCATCGGGCCCACTGGCAGGGGCTGAAACTGAACAGCAGACTGTCAGGTGCCCCACAGGGCTGAGGCTTCCCCTAGAATAAGTGCAGACATGGCCCTGCCCAGCCCCTCTCTGCTCCCTCTTCCTAGGACAAGCAGCAGAACCCAGCACTGCCCCTCCTCCTGTCAGGCTCAGTACCTTGCTGATGACTGTGCGGATGGCAAACAGCTTCTCCGTGGGGTCTCCAGCCTCTGAGAGTGGTGCATCATAGTCATAACTGGTGGTCACTGGTTTGTACTGGCCCTTGAAGTCAGCTCCTGGCCAAGGAAGTGATGGGAGCTGCAGGGAGAGCCTAGCACCTGGATACCAGCTCTATGCTGGAGGCAATACAATTGTAGGGAGCATGACCCAGAACTACTCAGGGATTAAAGGAGCCCTCTGGAGTACAAGCTGGGGTGCAGCATCGAAAAACCTCCCCCCTAGGACAGAGAAGCAGCCTGGAAAAGGCTCCCAGATGCAAAGAGTCCTGCTGCATGTCCTCCTTCAGTCTCCCACTCACCGCTCCAGTAGGCAAAGTTGGTGCCCCCATGGAACATGTACCTGTGTAACAGCCCAGAGAGCAGTCAGCACCCACATGGCCTGGACCACCCTGCTGCCCCCCAACCATCTCTAAAACCAATAGAGGAGGGGTCTGGTAGCCAGGCCATGCCCTAAGTTGGCTACTTGCATGTTGACGTTGGCTCCCAGCTGCAGCATATCGGTGAGTCCCTGAGCCACCAGTGTGGCACTGGTGCTCGCATGCGGGCCCCCCCAGTAGTCCAGCCAGCCCACGTAGTATTCAGAGTTCACCTGGGGAAGCCAGGGGCTGTCACCTGCTGGAGATGGGGTGACACACCCCACACCACCCTCTCACATGGTGCCTCACCAGCGGTCCCCTTGGCTCAATGTGGCGCTGGGCACCAAATGCTTCTGTCACATTGGAGTCTACAAGGGGAAAAGAAGTGAGGCTGGAGCAGAAAGGGGGAGAGGACATCTGCCCCATCTCATCTGCTCCTTCCCCTTGGCGGCACCTGGCCCAAAGTCAACAGTGGCATAGAGCCCCTGCAGGGTGCCACAGCGCAGCTCCTCCATCTGTGCACCATCAGTGGTGAAGAGCAGCACCTCAGGGCCCAGCAGTGCCCGGAAGGTGCCCAGCAGGTGCTGCAGGTAGCTGAGGTCACAGGCATAGTAACTCCCATATTCATTCTCCACCTGCAAATCAGGCACCAGGTGGGATACAGCCATGTCCTGACAGGCACCTGGTGACAGGTCCCACAGCACCCACCTGCACACTGATGATGTTCCCCCCATGCTGGTAGAGCCGTGGCTTAATCTTGGGCAGGAGGACATGGAGCCAGGCGTCCACGGCTGCCATGTAGGCTGGGGACAGGGGCAGCTTAGCCCCAACCCTCAGCCACTGGCCCTGCAATGAGAGGGACTGAGGGTGCAGAGGAAGAACTACAGGCTCCCAGAAGAGGGAGAAGCAAATGGAAAAAGTCATGCTTGGGGCTGGGCTGAGGAGCATGCGGGCACTGTCTGAAGGGACACCACGGCCGTGGCCACATGCTGAGCTCACCAGGGTCAGAGGAGCGCAGGATGATGTCTGCTTTCCACAGCAGCCAGGCAGGCAGCCCACCCTACAGGAACGTGGAGAGCATCATCAGTGAGCACGGGGCCAGATGAGCCACCTGGCAGCCCTGGGGCAGGGCCAGGGCTAGGGCTCACCATCTCCCACTCGGCACAGATGTAGGGCCCTGGGCGCAGGATCACCAGCAGCCCCAGCTCCGCAGCCAGGTCCAGGAAGGCTTCCACGTCCCGTTCCCCCGTGAAGTCATACACTCCCGGCTGCGGCTCGTGGTAGTTCCAAGGGACGTAGCTGGGGGGAGGAGGGGATGGCAACCAGAGACAGCCCAAGCTGCGGGGTGTCAGAGCTCCGCACACAGCCTCAGGCTCACTTACACCTGCACGGCATTCAGCCCGGCCATGTAGAGCCGCAGCAGCCGGTCTCGCCAGGCGGGCCGCGGGACGCGGGCGTAGTGCACGCTGCCCGACACGTAGCGGAACGGGGCCCCGTCCTTGCGGAAGCAGTCCCGCTCGAAATCGATCTGGAAGGAGCGCGCCGGGAGGGCGGCCTGCGGGACGGGGGCAGAGCTGGAGGAGGCAGCCCCTCCCCGGCCCCAGCGCAGATCCACGGGGGCCGAGAAGAACGAGACGACCGCAGCCCGCCGCCCTCCCGCACCCACCTCCGTACACAGCAGCGCAGCCGCCAGCAGCAGCACGAGGGCCGGCAGCCCCATGACCGCGGCTCAGAGGCTGGGGAGACGGCGCAGAACGAGCGAAGAAACTCCCATCCCGCCCGAAGCTCCGCGGCGCTCATAATGACGGCACGGGTCCGAACGGCACCGCCCCGCGGCACCGCCTTCCGCCCCTCGCGGCAGGCCACGCCCACTTCCTATCAGACCACGCCCACTTCGGCGAATCTCCGCCCCCTCGGTGCCCCGGGTGACGCGGCGGTGACGTGCGGCGGCGGGCGATGACGCGCGCGGACGATGGGGCAGGCGCTGTGCGTCTGTTCCCGTGGCACCGTCAGCCTGGGGGGTGCGCGATACCTCCTGCTGCAGCGCCTGGCCGAGGGGTGCGGCGAGACGGGGGGCTGCGGATATTGGGCACGGGGTGGGATGCCGGGGGCACGGGGGACGTCGGGCATAAGGGGTGGTCGGGGCACGGAGGGGATGGATAGTCAGGACTTTGGGAGAGATGCTCGTGTATGGAGGGGATGTTTGGGCACGGCTGCCATCCCCACACGGCGCTCTGCTCCGCGCAGGGGCTTCAGCTACGTGGACCTGGTGGAGGGGCTGCGGGACGGGCGCTTCTATGCGCTGAAGCGCATCCTGTGCCACGACAAGGAGGACCGGCAGGCGGCCCTGCGTGAAGTGGAGATGCACAACCTCTTCCAACACCCCAACATTCTGCGCCTGGAGGCCCACTGCCTGGTGGAAAAGGGTGCCAAGCACGAGGCCTGGCTGCTCCTGCCCTATGTGAAGGTGAGGGAGTGGCCCCCGGCCTTATGTCACGCAGGGCTGTGGTGATCACCCGCTGTGTATCTTTGCCAGGGGGGGACCCTATGGAGCGAGGTGGAAGCGCTACGGGAGAAAGGAACATTCATGCCAGAGCAGCGCATCCTTCTCATCCTCCATGGCATCTGCAGTGGGCTGCAGGCCATTCACAGCAAGGGCTACGCACACAGGTGGGGTCCTTGGCCAGGGGTGGGGGCAGCAGGCTTCTAGTGGGCGCTTGGTGATGTCCTCTTCCCACTGCAGGGACCTCAAGCCCACCAATGTGCTGCTGGATGAGGATGACCAGCCTATTCTAATGGACCTGGGCTCCATGAACCGGGCCCGCATGGAAGTCACCAATTCTCGGGAGGCCATGGCTGTGCAGGTGGGTGCCCGTGCTGGGGGGGGGGTGGGAGGGAATCGTCCCACTGCCACCAGCCCTGCATCCCCTCTGCCTCTCTGCAGGACTGGGCTGCCCAGCGCTGCACCATCTCCTACCGTGCCCCTGAACTCTTCACGGTGCCTAGCCAGTGCGTCATCGATGAGCGAACGGATATTTGGGTGAGGACGCAGACCCTCCGCCCCCAACGCTGTGGGGTAAGGGGCCACTCTAATGGCTGCGCTGCAGTCTCTAGGCTGTGTGCTGTACTGCATGATGTTTGGGGAGGGCCCCTACGATGCCATCTTTCAGAAGGGTGACAGCGTGGCACTGGCGGTGCAGAACCCCATCACCGTCCCCACAACTTCCAGGTGAGGTTCTGGAGATGGGTGGGCCCTGCTCCCCATGGCAGGGCCATGCTGACCCCTCACCCCCTACAGGTACTCAGCTGCCTTGCACTGCCTGCTCTCCTCCATGATGACAGTGAACCCCCAGGAGCGGCCCAACATTGAGGACATCCTACAGCAGCTGGAGGGACTGCAGGCTATGCCTGCCGGCCAGGTCACCACAAGTATCTGAGTGTGGCCCATTGCTGGCCTAGGCTGTATTGGGCTGCCCTGGACCTGCTTTCCCCTACGGCTGCTCCTGAGGGGATTTCTGCACCCCAGGGAGAGCTGCTCTGTGCTGGAGGTGTTTTGGAGTCAGATGTTGTCATTTGGGGTTGTGCGATGCAGTGGTTTGTACCCTGAATGCTGCCGCTGGGGCCTGCATGGCTGCTGGTGTCTGTGTGGCTGCTATGGCCAGCACGGCCCAGCACTAGGTTGCAGGACTGGCACATGTGCCCTGCTGCTGAGGGCAAGGCCTCGCTGCCCTCTCTGAGCCCACAGGGCAGCAGGTATCTCCTGCCCTGGGGTATGGCTGCAGCCGGGCCCGGCCTTGTGCTGTGGAGCAAGGCAGGGGCAGGCTGGGCTCAGCGCCCGCTGCCCTGGCACCCACATTGCCTTGTGTTTTGAATAAAGGTGTTCTTGCGGAGATATGCACGGTGTCCTCTGTCCTGCTGGACATGGGGTGAGCGGGGCACACAGCCGGGACCAAGCAGCCAGGCACAGCCAGGCATTGCTGAAGGGGAATGGTGGGGGAGGACAGCTCCACGGCTCCATGCAGCTGCAGCATTAGTGTTAAGCAGAGAAAGTTAATCTCTGGCCCCAGTGTGACAAATCCGTCTGTGGTCACAGCTAAGCCCTGCTGTGCAGCACCGCTGTGCAGGCTCTCAGGGGCAGTGCAGTGCAGGAAAGGGGCTCACGCAGCACGCACTGCGCAAGGCACAGGCAGAGCCCAGCACCTGGGTGCAAAGGGCAGCAGCTCTGCTGCAGGGGGACAAAGACAGCCTTGGGATGGCACTATGAGCATCAGCAGCTGGAGGTGTGTAGCAGACACACAGCAGTTGGGCTGCCCACAGCAGGGAAAGAAAGAGAGGCAGCCAAGTGGTTTCAAAGGGAGCATTCCCCTCCTTTAATCCTCTCACCACAACACAGTAGTAAAACAGCCACAGGGATCCATGCCACGCCAGATGCCCTCACAATGTGCATCCACTGCACTGCAGAGCTGGGACATGCCCTAGGCTTTTCCCAATGCTCCAAGCACTCATCTTTCTGACAAGCCCACCTACCCAACTGGCTGTATACATGAAGATGTTTCAGCAGCCACAGTTCAGGCTGTGCTCAGGCTGAATCTGCTCCTCAGGACTCCAAGAAGGATGTAGGGTTATCCACATGAGGAGGCAGTACCCACCCTGCCTGGATGGCGAGCAGTGTGGGATGAGCACTGCAGTCCTAGGGTCTCTTACCTGCGCGAGGAGCAAGCTGGAGCTGGAGCAGGAGCAGAGCACGCAGGGGGGAAGCATAGCAGCAGCAGCAGCAGCACTGAAGCATGCACCACACACCTGACCTGGCAAGAAACCAGCACAGCTGGGGGGTCACTGGGAGACACAAAGGTTCTCAAATGATTTATTGCAAAGGGTTTCCGCAGGTGACACGGGAAAAGCAGCAAAGTCCTCTGCCAGGCGACCGCTCTACTCCTCGCCCTCCTCTTCATCCTCGTAGGAGTCCAGGCCCACCTCCTCGTAATCCTTCTCCAGGGCGGCCATGTCCTCCCGCGCCTCGGAGAACTCCCCCTCCTCCATGCCCTCGCCCACGTACCAGTGCACGAAGGCGCGCTTGGCGTACATCAGGTCGAACTTGTGGTCCAGGCGCGCCCAGGCCTCGGCGATGGCCGTGGTGTTGCTCAGCATGCAGACGGCGCGCTGCACCTTGGCCAGGTCTCCCCCCGGCACCACCGTGGGCGGCTGGTAGTTGATGCCCACCTTGAAACCGGTTGGGCACCAGTCCACAAACTGGATGCTGCGCTTGGTCTTGATGGTGGCGATGGCGGCGTTGACGTCCTTGGGCACCACGTCCCCACGGTACAGCAGGCAGCACGCCATGTACTTGCCGTGCCGAGGGTCGCACTTCACCATCTGGTTGGCTGGCTCAAAGCACGAGTTGGTGATCTCAGCCACCGACAGCTGCTCGTGATA